TCCTAGTTCTATCATTGATACTGCCCTAGTTTAATTTAAGGCTACTCTTATCAATTTGCTATATTTTTAGTCTGTATAACTTAGTTATATTTGTAATTATTCTCAAAAACTTTTTTATTATGTATATTGCCGTTAGACGGTAATTTCCAAAAATATCAAATGAATAAATACAGATAATATATTGTTAAAATATTATTAAGAACAAATTACTATAATATTAATGGAAACATATTTTTACAAAAATACAAAGAATTTGTGTGTACAATATTTTGAAGTTTATATTTATGAAACATTTCCAAGATCATGATAAATAAATTTGAAATAGTTGAACAAATATCATTTTATTTTTGCCCAATTTTTTTCATAACTAATATGTACTCAACATTTGGTCCCAAACTTTTCATTTTCTGCCTTTTTTAAGTTCTGTTTAAATTTCCCACTGTAGAATTTTTCCCCATAATTCCCTAATAGTATATTAAATCTTTTCCCTAATACTTTTAGTAGGTTAATTATTTAACTACTTTTATTAATATAGGGTATTATTTTATTTATACACATTTCTAAAGACCGCCAAATGAAACTACTGTTAGGCAATTTTGTATCTATATGTATTACATATGTATTTAATATAGTTGTATAAATATCATTTTTTTTTTGCAATTACACATTGTGAAAATATGTGTAAAACGTATAAATCATGTAAAAAACATTTACTTTTCATATGCATACAATATAAATATGTATGAGGATATTATTGTAAAAACGTGGTAAAATATAATTTTGCTGTGTGAGTAGGTACTTACTCGTTTGTTGTTTTCACGTTTTTCACAAAGGATGCCTTCCATTTGTGGAAATATTCTTCAGATGGCGGCTGCGACAATCTTATTCCCAGTTGTGGGTTGTAGTCATTCCACTGATGCTGGTTGTTGGTACCTTTCAAAAGAGATTTTCAATATAATTTAAAAATTGGCACCGTTATGTGATACTATTTACCTCCATAACACATTTGCCCATACTCTATGCACTCTGTACATACCTGTAACCTTATACTATTTTTCATGATCCTTTCCTTCTCCCTTCTCTTCTTTCCACTCTTCCCCAATACCATCTTCCTTTAATAATAATTATTATAATGTTAAAAAAAAACTTACTTTCGCCTGAAATATCAAGAAAAACACAGGCCACGGTAACTAGAAAAACGATTACTGCGCCAGATGATGCCATCATGAATACGGTGCACGCGTTGTTGAAGTGTTTTAAATTTAAATTTTGTAATCTGAATTATCCAAAGTAATAAAACGCCAATTTATCGAAATCTTTAAATATTGTTTTAAGTGTTTAGGATCAAGAAAAATAGAAACAGAAAATAGACACAGCACAGCGAAAATACGAAATATCCAAACGTATAAAAAAGTTACCGTGTTATCGGAAGATTCAAGCGAGAGAAGATAGATACTGATAATTGTAGAGTGCGACCGCAACGAGCATAAAAATCACAGACTGTCGGGGCCGAGCGTGCGGTTCACCAATTTATAGGCCTGGCAGCCGGCTCACTGTTGTCTGGCGGCTGTGGCGACGGTGGAGGCGGCGACAGCTAACCAATCAGAACCACGGTAGCGGTTCAAAGGTAGTCTCTCGCGTACCACCACCGATACGCCGGACATTTGTCGTCACATACCTACACCCAAGTATAATACCGTGGTGTTCGTCGTCGTCGTCACCACCGCGCACCACCACCGGAACGGCTGGTATGGTGACCGAATAAAATGCGTTCGACGGGCTATTAGATTATTGTGCACACGCAAACGACTAATACGCACTAACAAACACGATTGATAGTTAGTTAGATAATGGCGTTTCCAGGCCTTAATTACGTAGTCGTCAAAATAATTCAGTTTAATTAATTTAATATTAACGATTGATAAACAAAAGACGGACACTTTGCACGATAGTGAACAACTGTTATAGATAAGAAGTTGAGAAGATAGGATATTGAGGGAAATGGAATGTATATCAGGNTTGATTCCTTTTCTGGGTCTCTAGGTATAAACTGCGTTATGTGATGATTTTTTTGTTTGTTAGTAATTCCTGTGAAGTGTTTCTTTTTAAGGATGGTGTATTTGAATTTTTTCTTATAAATGTTAATGTATGTATAATTGGTAAAAAAGATTTTTTCAAAACATTTAATTCTCGTACGCGTTGCACAATTTCTGAAAGGGAATGTTGTCCAGATGGTACTTTCAGAATGTCATTTTTTGATTTTCAAAACGGTTTTCGTAATATCTGGGAAAAACCAAAACAAAATGTAAGTAAAACAGGAAATTTACGAAAATAATGGTTTTATTATTTTTCAATTTTGTTATTTGTATTTCAGTTAAAATTATTCGTAAAGACTTGAAATTTAGATAGAAAACTTATAATTGCTTTTTTCAAACTCTGTAAAATTTAAAAAAATCTAAGCCAATTTTGAGGTATTTATAGATATTTTAATTTTGAGAGTTTTGTACGTAATATTTATTCAAGCACATTATTGTAAAATTCTTAGACTTGAACAGAAATGCGTTTGGCGTCTACGTATCGCCAGCGGTGATTGTTAAGGTATTTTATAATGGATGACCGGAGTGGTACCGGTACTAATAAATGTACTTTTTATCTTCCATGTTGTAAACAGATAAGTATGTTATTATGTATAATATACGGTTTATGGATATAGAAAAAAACATCGCATTCCTATACCGTCCGTTTTTATTAACAATAATTCGATACTACAGTCAATATCTATTATACTGAACGAATCGAAACTACACGATCCCTGTGGAGCTGGCGTCTCGTCCGATTGATATCTATCCGAAAACGTGCCCAAGAGCAGACGCGGGAGGATTACAATTTACAAATAATATTTATTGGTTATTCTCTCGTTATTATTTCCTATAATGGGAACCTTCCAGAAGATTCTTCTTTTTGTATTTATTGTATCAGGTATCTGAGAATATCTACCAAAATTCGATATACGCACAACGCATATTATACGTTATTATATGTATTGTCGTCATTCGAGTCGACGGGACACATTATAATAAAAGGTTCTCGGCCTTCCGGCTGACACAAAGACGCAGAGTAATAAAATATTTCTGAAAAGTATCTTAGATTAGACACCCGGTTTGACCCGGTCATCATATTAGATTATTGAAAAGAACGGCTGCGTTTATAAATCGTCACCCGATACGATCTCTCTCATTCCTCCTCCCACCACGGCAAGTCCGCCGACGTAACTCAACTAGACCAAAAAAAAAAAGTTGGTTCTTACACAGGTTGTCATAATTAGGGTTACCAGATTTCAAAATTCAAAATACGGGACTAAAAAAATGTCTATTTCAAATATAGTGAAATCCCCCTTAACGGATACCTCCATATAACGGACGAAATTTTGGCGACCGATAATGTCGTGTATCAGAGGTTTCACTGTATCACAACGACGCCGCCAGACATTTTTTAATGAAAGTATCATGAATTAAACTATAGGACAATCTTTACTTAATATTTTTACTTCTTTCAACTATCTAATATTTTTTAAAAATTATATCAGTTTTCCGTATACTTCTATATCAATAGATAATAAAAATAAATAATATTAAAAATGTTAACATATTTTATTTGAATAATATTTCAACAGTATTATACCATAAGTATTTATTAACGTATAAATATAACATTTTAAAACTTTTTTTAATAAAATAAAAATAACAACCCTGTTTTAGTTTTTCTTTGGCAATACCTAGCCAATAGGAACAAAATCTAAAATAAATAGTACATTCAACTTTACAAAATATGTATACACTATACCTTACATAATTTAAACTTACAAAACTAATTGGTTGTTATAATGTTCATGGAGTATTATAATATTTATTAGAAGAATGAATCTCTTTTAATAATGATTGATTTCCAATTAAGAAGTCATGGAATTCTGTACAGGTTTCCTTAAAAAATGTCTTCACTATCAACATAGCTTTAACTGTTTTTATTTCCATTTTATTATTTCATCCGTCCATAAGTTATTCATATTTGAGAAAATTCTTTCAACATTTGCATTTGAACCTGGTATGCATATTAAAAACTCTACCATTATTTTAAAATTTGGAAAATAACCATCATCAATATTATTCACTGATTTAAAAATATATGTTCACATTTCTGATAAAGTTTTAAAGGATTGAATATTTTCATTGTGTTTTACACATTCTTTAATCATTGTAAATTCATCAAATAAATGAGCCTCATTAATTAAATTGTTTTTGGGAATAATATTTTTGATTAATTCAATAGTAGTTTGAATATTAACCCAATTAAAATCATGATCAATGTTTTTAAATGTAATCCACGTTAAACTATCAAATTTACTTAAAGTGGGATTTGACCATTCTTTTAAATATTCTAAACATGTATCATAAAATGTGTTAGGATAGTTAATATACATGTTTTCAGATAAAACTGCTTCATCTCTTAATGCATTTGATACTTCTCGTTCTTTTGATGCAAAAAAATTTTCATTTTTACGAGATTCAATTTTTTTAATTATAGACTCAACATGATATTTAACCTCAATTATAGAAATGTCTCTGGCCTCCACACTTTTTATACATGTTAAAAACAATTCGCATTGAATTTGTAAAAAAATTAGAATTGAAAATGATAGTGGATTGTTAAAAAAATCTTTTATTAAAGTTGGGCATTTGTCAATTGAAAAGTAATATGATTTTAAACCGTCAAACATATCTATAAGTCGAGTTAGAGCAGAGAATAAAGACAACCAGCTAGTTTTAGAATGTCCTAAATCGGTTTTGTATTTAATATTAAAAAATTCACAAAATTCTTTAAGAACGTGGACTCGAACAGTATAAATATAAAAATGTTGAAAGGTAGGTCTATGCTATCGGTCGGTATGGTCATATGGTTATATTATAATCTTCTATTATCTATTTATAATATGGGTACATATTTTAACAAACAGGACATTTCAGTGTCCCGACAAGAGTTGCCGGGAAAACGGGACACTTAGTCAAAAAAAGGGAATGTTAAAATATGTACCCATATTATAAATTGTATTCTTTTTTCGTTTTGAGATAACAATTACCTACTTGTTATTCATTATCACTACCCGTCGGCCACATAGATAATAGAAGATTAAAATATAACCATATGACCATACCGACCGATACCATAGACCTACATTTCAACATTTTTATATTTATACAGTTCGAGTCCACGTTCTTAAAGAATTTTGTGAATTTGTTAACATTGAATACAAAACCGTTTTAGGACATTCTAAAACTAGTTGGTTGTCTTTATTCCCTGCTCTTATTCGACTCATAGATATGTTTAACAGTTTAAAATCATATTTCCTTTCAATTGACAAATGTCNAAGTAAATTTTTTCTCATATAATTTACGAACTAACTGAGAAGTACAATCCATAGAATTGAGACTTTGACTGTGTTTACAAGTATGATAAGCAAAAATTCCTTCGTCTGCAGCTAATTTTTGTTCTTTATCAGCAAATTGTGTTTTTGGAGAAAAAAAATTTGACAATTTTTGAGATTTAGACGCTCTAGCAGCTATATTATGTCGTTCCGATTTTAAATGTTGTGTAATATCCGACTTACCACCATGTTCAATGCTGAATGCTGCTCCACACACAATACATTCAATTTTATATTCTTGTCCTGGTTTTTGACATTTTTTTAAGAATGTGTATTCACTTTGTAACTTTTCATTAAATGTGCACTTTCTTTTGGGCATTTTAAATATTAAAACTTAACTATCATATTATTATGTTATAAAAACGATTATAGACTAATGTATATTACTGTGGTCTGACCAGACTATGAATTATGATCGAACAGATAAGAATAATAATAATTTTCTTATCGACTAATCTATTTTATAATAATATGGGAAATGGTAAACATAAAATAAAATTATAACAATCTATTAATAGAAACGAAATCGGTATCGGTCATAGACCTATAAAGACCTTTATAGGTCTATGGTATCGGTCGGTATGGTCATTTGGTTATATTATAATCTTTTATTATCTATGTGGCCGACGGGTAGTGATAATGAATAACAAGTAGGTTATTTATTACGCAAGTTTCAAAAGATAAACGACTAAAACTACGGTATGTGTATATGCATAATTTAATTTTCTGTATATGTAAATTATATAATATTAATACTGTAAGCCTGCAATTTAGATTGGTCTATTAAAAATTATTAGAAAAAAATCATAAATGTATATATTTTAAAATAGGTGTGCAATCACCAAGGCAATAGTTTTTCGAAAAAATATGACGTTGCATCATAATGAAAAAGTTGATCTTTGAAAACAAGATATATTGAACAGCCCATACCATGTATTTGGAGAACATTCTTATTGTGCCAAGTATAACAATTTAAAATAAATTAAATGATACTTTTTTTTTTATCTGCAATCGTTTAAAATTATGTATTTATATTTTATTTAGTTACTTTTGTAATGGTCCTAAAGAAAGTGAGGTAAATTTAGTTTCACAAATGGAAAATTGTGGACTGTTCAAAGATATTTTAGGAGCTAGAAATATTGTCGCTCATCATGCTCAAAGCCTAATATACAACGTAAACAATAATGCAGTTGAAGGCTTTAATAGTGTGGTTGCCAAGTATGTAGGTGGAAAAAGAGTTAATTTTTCTTCTAGAGGTAATAACAAATACTTATAAAACTAAAAATTATATTTTCGTATTATATGTTTGACATATTATGTAAAACTAACACTTTATAGACTCATATAGTGCACGGTGTAATACAGCGGCAACGTCGTATAATTGTTTACAAAAATATATTAGTAATTTACATAAACAAATTACGAATACTAGCCCTGGATTATTTACAAAACAATATATAAAAAGAGTAGAAAGATCAAAATTAAAATTAAAATGTAGACTTAAATTTCGAAAGGTATTATATAATAATTTAAATTCGATTATATTAAACAGATGAGGAGGGCTAAATCTATAAATAACTAGTTCTTATATAGCTTATATATAGGTACTCTTAGATTTGTAAATTGTTATATTATTATTATATACCTAATAATATAATATAATAGTATTTTTTTTTAAATTTTTATTTAATTATGCAGTGAATAATATCGTATTCTCATTTTCTTAAAATAATTCTAACCATTTTATTACTTAAAAACAAGTAATATAATACATTATATTATATTCAACTGATTTTTTTTTTTTTAATTATAAATTATAAGATCTTTTCCAAAGAGAACAAAAATTATTGACGGACCAGATGAGAATTATGGAGCATTATAGTAATCAAACATACTGTATAAGTACTCTAAAATCTAAGTAGTTAAATGTTATTTTATTCATACTCTAGGTACGGCATTGAAAATGAACCAATGGCCAAAAAAGATTTTGAAAAAAAATTTGATTTTAAAATTGAACCAGCAGGGTTATTTATACATACAAAACTTAATTATTTAGCCGCAAGTCCCGATGGACTAATAGGCAAAGACGCAATAGTTGAAATTAAGTGTCCTCAAAGTATAAAGGAGTATTTACCGGAAGAAGCAGTAAATAACAAAAAATTAAAATTTATGATTTATAATGATGAAAAACTAATATTAAAAAAAAAATAATTGTTACTATTTCCAAGTACAAGGACAACTTAATATTACAAAACGAAAATGGTGCTATTTTGTAGTGTGGACGCCCAAAGGTAACTTATACTTTTTACTTCATTTTTTATTTCAAATCAACATAATCTAATATTTTATATTTTTTTATAGGTTTTGTAGTTGATAAAATATTAAGAGACAATGAATTTTGGAAAAATAATATTGAACCACAATGCACAAAACTTTATATGGAATCTTTAGTCCGAGAATTATAGACTCGAGATTTGATCGAGAATTACCTATAAGATCTGGTTTACCGGAACCATAATATTTGTATGTTTATTTTTTTTTAATATACTCTCTAAATTAATACATACAACGTGTATTATTATAATATATTATCCTTTATACCAACCTAAAATAAATAGAAAACTCTTGTTTTTATAAGAAATACATTTTTAAATTATTAAAAATTAAAATGTGAAGGTTTTTGCAGTAAAGCTATAAATACGTGTGTAGAATAGACATCGAACAATAATAATATGTTCTATGATAATATAGAACGTAGAAGACAGCGTATGCGGGTATTTACGTAATTATTATTACCGTGTATTATTATACAGTGTTGTTATAGTTATTTGTCAGTTAGCAGATAAGGTGTAGAATGGGTAGTACCTGGTGTAGGATAGAGACCTGTACACATACTAATAATCTTTTACTACACACACAGTCACAAATGACTCACGCACGCACTATAGATATTGCCTACGCCTAACTCCTTAAATATACACCACCACCGATCCCCTTAAGACGATTATCGTATGTACCTACTAAAAAAGCAGTCGTGTCATTTGCTGGAAGCAAAGATATGCAAATGCATCCCGCAAATTTCTTTTAAAACATTTAAAATACCTATGTAGATGCAGATAATTCCATAGAATTTTCAGAATAATACAATAATCGTGCAAGTTAGGTAGATATGAAACTGAAGTTTTTAATATCTTTATTGATAAGCATCGATTTCGTTATTGTCAATTTTTTTTTTAACCAAATTTCATTTGATTAGTATCGGAAGATAAAAGCACAGCACAAATAATATAATACAATATTTATTAGTTTAATTTTTCTAAAAAAATTTAATATTCTATACCTATACACTGTTGAGCGTAGTTTGTATTAACAGTAATAATAAGTAACTACCTACCTACTTTCCTTCATATCCTATTCATATTTATTTATTTAAAATATTTATATTAAGGTATACTGAAATAGGTTTTTGAATATTGTAGGCATTAGATATCAATATTAAGATGATTTTGTCCTTCATGAGGCTTTACTATTGATTTGTCAATATGCGTTTTACATTTCGTCAAAACATTTGAAATGATACCCTTGCTAAAAAGTCAAAGCGACAACTGTTTCCTAACCTCAAATAAGTCAAACGTCATTTGTTAAAACATCACCTTTTTGCCAGTTGTATGACTGTAGAAGGGTTGTTCTTAAAATTAAAATAAAATTTTTATAATTCGATTAAATAATTGTTGATGGAAATATAAATATTAGAACTCTTATTATCAATTATTGTATTACTAATTTTAAATATCTGATTTAAAATATTATCATTACTGCATCGAAAATAACTGTAACCATCATTATAATCACTGAAAAGAGTTAATTGCAAAATGCAAACCGAGACCTTCAATAAGTAATGAGGTAATATTGTTATACGATACATCTCTATGGGCCGGCCGAAATTCCAGAGAAAAACGAACTTCGACTCGGATACAAGGTAATACGATAACACAAAGGGAACAAATCCGATGTGCCGCTAAAAACAGGGGGGATGACGGTTTACTTGGGAAAACGATACAGATCTAATGGCCAATACCAATGGATTTCGTTGTATGCACTATAAGTGAATATGCCGATTCTTCTGATTTTCCAGTATATACGTTTTTAAATTATATCTATTTAACATTCGATGTTCATTTAATTGTACGCACCGTTCCAG